CTTGTGCTTGCCAGGCAAGCTCTTATTCTACTGAGCCATCTCCCTGGCCCCTAGAACACTTACCTCTAACCTTACCTACTTCACCTACTTCTTTTCCTACCTGTCCTTCTCTTGGGTGTCACTTTTAACTCTATTACTCCACAGAAATTTTCCTTTTCTCCTTTTGACAAGGCCTTTCTTCACTTGCTCTAATTTCATCTCTTTTCCTAAATGTCTTCCAACTTCTCTCTACTGTATGGCGGTCTTGATGTCTATTTCTTCATGTACAGACTCTGAAGACTGTAACAGATTCTGAAGAGTTATTCTAAGAAGGGCTTTCATCCATGGCTTATCTACCACCAGTTACACATATGCACTCTCTCTCAAGAGTAACAGATAATAGCATAGGTCAAAAACCTTAAGTAACTTTGGTTAAATGGTGAGATTAAAAGTTTCGTTTAGGATATATGTGACAGTTCTGCAAGCTAAGAACTACACAAACATGATGACTGTAAGCACTGAGCTATACCTAAACTGTATTCCTTAAGTAACACAAAATCCAGCAAAGTGGAACACATCTATAACTCTTACTTGAAAGGCTAAGGATGTGAACAACTTAATTAGATGTGTCAAAACAACAACCATCAAAAACTCCCCCAAAACAAAAACAAAGGGAAAGGGTTATAGTCAGTAGTACAGTAATTGCCTAGCATGTACGAGACTCTGTTCAATCCCCAGAAGAGCAAAAACAAAATAAAACCACACATACACATAGTATAAGTTACACTATAAATTACATAAGTTAGGAAGTTTATATAGTGTACACTTTTTTTTTTTTAAATGTATTTGGTTGTTACAGGGTCTCAATATGCAGCTCAGACTTATAGTGATCCTCCTGTTTTCAGCTTCCCCAGCGTTGGAATTATAGTATTTGCCTCTACGCCCAAACTCTGTGGCTGCCTCAGTCTGCCACGGGGCAGAGCTGGTGCAGCATATGGTGCTGGGACTTGCGCTTGCCTAAGTAGGCACTTCAGTCGGCTGAGCTAGCTCTCTGGCCCCCGATAGTGCATACTTTCCCTTAACTACAAATTTTTCTCTTCCCTTTGTTTAGAATAACATGTTTGATCTATTTATCAGTCAAATTCTAGAAAACTAAGGAATTTCATTATTAATATTTCAAAAGACAAACTATGCTTTGGATTACATGGAAGTATACTTTGCTCCATTATAATTCCTAATTGTAATTATGAAAATTTCAAACAGAAACAAGCAGCACTTAGGGGAAATCAAGCCCCAAAAGCAAGTTCCATGCTACACACAGAACCATTTCCCCCTGCTTCCTTTTCTGTCTTCCTTTTACCAGCTGCCAGACTCGGAAGTAACTGTAGTCATTTAAACATTACGTGGTCCTTTCCACACAGGAGAGCCACAGCCCCTGATATGTGATCCTCACAGAGCCAGGGCATGGGGAGCACTCCCCTCACAGACTGAGGACCTGAGCAGCTAGATGGGCCACCCCAAGCAAAGGGCACATGTCTGCTGTTCACAAAGTCTCCAAGAGCCTGGAATGCATAGAAACAATTTTCTTACCGTACT